GAAATGATATAATTTATGAATTTTAATCTGGTTTTCGACACGATTATTCGACTGAAACATGTCTTATTCATTTGACTGATTATTTGAGGACAGAAACATTCCAAGGGCGCTTCTTTTTCTTCTTGTACTTATTATCATTTCCATCATCAGTTTAATGTTGTTATTATTATTAAATGTCTTTGATAATTCATTTTTTTTCTTTTTCTTATCAGTCTGTAAATATTACTATTTCAACTGAATAATTATGTACATGTCTGTAGAGAGACTCCACTGGAAATAAGCTCTCGAGCTTTCGTGGGTTATCCTGCTCAAGCTGACTTAATTTTGATGTGTTATTATTGTATATTGTTGTATGTTGGAAGCTTGGTGAATAAAAATCAATCAATCAATTTTATTAGAAAGAAAAAAGGGGCATGTGTCAAACATCAGGGGTGAACAGTGGCATTTAAGAGAGAGTGAAGGGGGTTCTTTTTTAAGAAGGGAGTGCCGCCTCTGGCATAATGGACGAAAATGTGAGGAAAAAACCGGAAAATCATATCATTTCAGCAACATTTGTAAATCACTGGTATCGAATTAGAAAATAACCACGTTTGAAATTTTTTTTGGGAGTCAACTGCTTCCAACCCCCCCCCCCCCCGACCAGTACGCTAGTGTGGGTAATTGTCCTCAGGGGTAATTGTCTTCGGGGGGGGGGGGTAATTGTCCTCGGGGGCAGTTGTCCTCGGGGGGTAGTTGTCCTCTGGGGTTATTGTCCTCGGGGGTAATTTTCCGGAGGATAGTTTTCCGGGGGCGATTGTCCTGGGAATAATTTTCCTAGAACCCCCTTAGGAGTATGATTATAATGCAATTTTAAACTCCAAAAATTCATTTCTAAGCTCTGCACCTAATGCTAATGTTTTTTGTTTGAATAAGTGCAGCTATATATATATATATATATATATATATATATATATATATACTTTTTTAATAAGACTAATATTATTGGTTAAACGGCCCATTTGTTAACCAGCTGAGTAGCTCATTTGAACTTATATTTACTATATAATCGTTATATGTGCACATTTCTTCATCTAGACTAATTGCATAGTTTGCATGATCCATATTTGCAAACCAGTCGAGTAGATCCCCCAAATTATTAGCAATCATGTAAAACTCACCCTCATCGATAGCACTGCCCATCGTGTCGACGTGAGAAATGTGTTTCCTTCTTCAAAAGACGCAAAAGAATCTGTTCTCCCAATGCCAGAGTGTTAATGAACCATACAGACGTTGGCCTATAGTCATGCATTCAGAATGAATTTCGAATATATTAAATATATATATTGTGTGTGTGAGCGTGAGCGCGCGCGCGTGTGCGTGTGTGTGTGTGTATTTATGTCCAAAGCAAAAGGTGTCATAATTGCAAACGATGATATATTGCATTGGGTTATATTTGCCTGGGCGTACGAGTTTGTTGATAACGCCATCGGTTTGTAGCAAGTGTAGGGTAAGAAATAAGAACCGGCCACATTCTGGACTACTACATCCCCAGTAGAAAAACCCGCTTTAAAGCAGGTGCCTGCCACTTATGGTCAGTTATGATACAAAAGCTAATTAACCTTACTTCACAATTTTTATTTAAGAGTGTCTCTCACTTAAACTCTATTACAATTATATATTGCAACCATTAGAGCATGATTTCTATAATTATTAGTAGTAGCACATGTAGTAGTAGTAGTAGTAGTAGTAGTAGTAGTAGTAGTAGTAGTAGTAGTAGTAGTAGTAGTAGCAGTACCAGCAGCAGAAGTTGTAGCAGCAGGAGTAGCAGAAGTAGCAGCAGCAGCAGTAGTAGTAGTAATAGTAGTAGTAGTAGTAGTAGTAGTAGTAGTAGTAGTAGTAGTAGTAGTAGTACTAGTATATACAGTCAAACCTGTCTATAGCCACCACCCAATTAGGGAACACAAAAATGGCCTTTGTAGACAGGTTCCTTTAGTAAATGATTCAATGAGAATCCATTTTCAAGGGAAACAACAAATGTGGCCTTTGTAGACAGGTGGTCTATGTAGCAGGTGGTCACTAAAGCAGGTTTGACTGTAGTATCATTGCTGCTGTTTTTGTTATTGTTGTTATTATTACTATAACGTACTTTTAACATTGGTAATGGTATGAATAATTTATTTGTGAACTGTAGAATAACTTTCTTTCTCTCAGTTAATGACATTGTTTTGAAACTGATTGCAACAGTGACATGACAAATAGTAAATAATCAAAGCAAGGCAAATTTTTCTTTGACAAATCTTTTTTATTTCCAGTTGAAGTCAGCCTCTATTTGTTCTGTACATAATACAGAGGCGACAGACATATATTTGTGAAAACTACAAGTATAAAAAATATCTTGACGAGGCACGCCATTCTAGTTATTGCACCAAAACTTCTGCAATACTTTTCTTTACTTTGTACAATGGCTAAAATCAATTTGTATTTACAGACTATTGATCATCATCAATGTGCATTAATAGCAAAGTCATAAAATCATAAAATACATGTACGTACAGTGATGACTTCCCTGAAATCCAACAAAATGGAAACAAAATTAATTTCTCATTGTCACAGGCTATTGCAATGTATATGATATTCATCTCATTTTTCATATTCTTTACTTCTTGAAATAGAAATCAGCTGGACATCACAAAGCAACTGTATCATATCAATTTTAGGAGGAAAAAAAGGTGAAAAATAGCCTCTATCTGTCATATATTTGATTTCTTTGTAAAAATTCAAAGGCAAAACAGACATAATATCCACTGCTTGTATCTTCATTTAAGATGATTGCGACTACTTTAGAAAAATCAACACAATTTCAATAGCCTTGTGCGTCACCTATTATAATGTGCGAACATGATAATGACGCATTACGTAATCCGAACATAATGTCTATGGGACATACATTAGGGTAGTGAAATTTTCCTTGAGTTGATTTTTCTAAAGTTGTTGTGATTGTATTATTTACATGTATATAAATGTTATGTGTTTTAGGACGGATGGTGATATCAAGATTCCAAAGCTGACAATAGTATTATAATCTTTATACATCTGTTAACAAGGGAGAACTAAATTTTAAAAAATAACTGCATTACAAAAGGTAACAACCATAATGCACCATTAATACCAATTGAATATAAATGTCAATATTAGCAACACCGAAAACAAATCCAATATTTTCAATTAAGTAACAATGCCAGATTAACAGTTTTTAATTACATCAAGATTGTGATTACGTCATAGAATTGTACACCTTTGTCCAACAACGTTTGGATTCACAAATCGAATAAGTCTCATTTAACTTCAAAAAGAGGCTATTCTTAAATTTCATGTCTTAATGGTGGAATGTTGTTTTGTCATCAGGAAAAAAAATTGTTTGTTCCATCCTTTTCTAGCACTGTGTAAGACTTATGCTAATAGATGTACACAAGATGATCTCAAACCAAAAACTAGCTCCGTATAAGCAGAGCTCAACACCAAAAGTCTCCCAAGACACATACCGATAGGCACTCAAAATCTAGGTCAGGATCCCCAAATTTAAAGCCTTAACATGGGGGTCACGCACACACAGACTCCAAAGAGTAAAAATGTCAATCTTGACCACCTTAGACGGAAATTTAGTGTCCCGAGCCCTGATAACAGGAATGCAAACATGGGTAGCAATAAGGGTGGTTATCTATTACAAGACAATTCACCTGCATTCAATACTGACTAGAAACTTGAACTACCTGAGGAAGGGTTAGGGTGGATTTAATAACACAAGTCCAATATACTGCTGTTCTTCTTAAAAATTGGAAATCAAATACTATTCAATAATACAATGTTGAATATACCTGGGGTGTTTCACAAAGATCCTAAGTTGGACTTAACACTTACGGAAAGCCATAAGTATCTTTGAAAATATTATGTATAAGTTATTTTTAAAGGCATAAAATGTTGATTCAAATCATTCATATTTTCTATTATCAAGGATATTTCATGTTTTTGATGTGGAATTTATGAAAAGTCTAAAAAAATTGAATTTTTGCTTTTGAATATATTTCATTTTGGGGCTACAAATGGCTCTTCATAATGTTTAAGTCCAACTTAGAGTTAAGTTTGACTTAGGATCTTTGTGAAACACCCCCCCCCCCCTGGAGTATCCATACAAAATGTCCAATAAGCATAGGTAGAGTGATAAGAAATGATTTCTGAGACACATCCAAAATTAATTTGGGGATTTGTTCTAATTATCGAAACACTCCACGTGAGGTTGTTGAGCAATTGGTAAATTGAAGTATGGAAGCCCTGAGAACTTTAATATCCATCGAATAGACTTCCAGAGGGGAATTCAACCTTTGTAATAACTTCATTTGTATGATAGAACAAATATGAGAAACAAAATGGCGAAAAACAAAAACTAACGTTCTTGTCCACAACGGGAGAGTTGTTCACGACTCTGTCACAGTCCACTGACCAAATTGCCTATTTAAGATTCTCATAGATTTAGTGATCTCATCCTTCAAACATTCATAACTCTCTTATGATAGGTCCAATATTTTTCGAACTTCCTCCATTTTGTTTCTGTTATTTTGGCCATTGGCTTTACTTCCAGAATGACATCCACAAACAGCTTTTATCACCTCCATTGGTCTCGTAACACTTTGATATCACCGGTGCATCGATCGCAGCAGTTGATAGTGATCTCCTCATAACGGGTGTGAGGGTGATAGCAATGGGTATTGCTCATTCTATCGGTCTCAATACTACTTTGTTATCTCCAGTGCATTGTTCGCAGAAGTTAATAATAACGTCCTTGTACTGGTTGTGGAGATGATAGCAATGGGTATCTCTCATTCTATCGGTCTCAATACTACTTTGTTATCTCCAGTGCATCGTTCGGAGAAGTTAATAGTAATGTCTTTGTACTGGGTGTGGAGATGCTAGCAATGGGTATCTCTCATTCTTCCGGTCTTATAATACTTTGTTATCACCAGTGCATCGATGCAGCAGTTGGCCTAAGATACATGTACCTCACACAGCTTTCTCAAGAAAATCACCCATCACTGTTCCAACCATGTTGATATGATATATGGCATGGGCTTTACACCTTCAAACAGCTTTTGTCATCTCCATTGGTCTCATAACAATTTTGATAGCACCAGTGCATCGATCACGACAGTTGATAGTGAAGTCTCGTAGTGGGTGATAACGATGGGTCATGTTGACCTTTTGTTCATTATTATCATCTACCACCTCTATCGGTCTCATACCACTTTGATATCACCAGTGCATCGATCGCAGCAGTTGATAGTGATGTTCTCGTAGCACGTGTGGGGGTGATAGCGATGGGTCATGTTGACCTTTGGCACCGGACCCTGCAGAATGGCCTGCTGGGATATCTGTTCCAGTTTGATGCTGGGTTGCTTGTTCAAGACAATCTGTATTTAAATCAATGAACAGAAGAGGGGCAGTTAACACAATATGAGGAAATCCAAAGCCTGATCTTTTAGAATTACGATTGATCTGAATTGATTGCAATTTAACTTGAAATTGACATCAATCGCACCTCTGTTTAAGATTTGTACCCATCGGCCAAGCACATGATAATTTATGGAAAAGACCTAGCTAGTGTCTTTGACAAACATCTCTAGCATCTGCATACTTTCTAGAAATGTATATATCCACTGGCCATTTATGGTTTTTGTGCCTCTCTGACAGGCTTACAATGATGTCGTAAAAAAACCTACTATCATAACCCTGAGTGCATACTTCGTGAATTCATACAATTCTTGTAAATATATATATATATGTGGGTAATTCCATAAGTTAAGGACCCACTTTGTGACATTTTTGGTGTCCCAGATTCATAAGGAACCCACACGTATTTGTGGCTCTGAGTAAAGACTTAAATAGTGGAGTGAGATTGTAAAGTGATTTCCAAGCATAATATTGCATCCTCATACCTAGAATCATTTAACAATCATACTCCACTATTTAAGTCTTTACTCAGAGCCACAAATACATGTGGCTTCCTTATGTAATTGGGACAGCAAAAATGTCACAAAGTCGGTCCCTAATTTATGGAATTAATATACACGTATAGATATACAATATATACTAATCAAACACTTACATCCTTGGCTAACATCTCTGCCTCCGTCCAATCCACAAATTCAAATCCCTTTGGGCCACCTGCAGTTGACCCCTGGTGGTGACCTCCGACATCGCCGAGGAGCACACTGGAGATGGTTGAAGAGAGCTGCTCGTTCAGGAGGGCAAGGGTCATGACATTACTGATAGGTTTTATGGACGATTCTTCATTTATACTCTGGTTCCTCTGTAAGGCACTGGATAGATATTGTAATAACCTGAGATGCAGGGAGAAAAAAAGATATAAGGACATTGTTTAGAGGTTTAGAAGATTCCTCACTTATACTCTTGACTAGAAAACAACATCGTATAAAGAAACTAAATTTGATAAGGTCACTTTATTTATTAGTCCAACTGACTGCTAAAAAAGCATGTGTGTGCTTGTAAGTAAGCAACTAGGAGACCAACGGCTTTGAGTCATCTCTGAGGGACTTGGTAATGAGGATTAATGCCTTACCAAAGGGCACTTGCATGTCGACTTGGTTGGAACCCGGGACCTCCCTGTTACGAAACCACTGCTCTACCACCGAGCCATAGCGCTGACATGACAGCTGGCAGCTCGCAAAATAATTAGTGTATGCTCATGATAATTCCTGGTCCCTCTTGCATAAAGAGTCGCATTTAAACGCAACTCTGAAAATGAACGCGAGTCCTAAAAGTCAATCGCAACTTTTCCAGATCAAACGCAACTATATGATAGATATATGACCAAACGCAAAGTTGCGTTTGATTTTAATCTCAACTCTCTTCATGCAATGGGCAGTTGCGTTAGAGTGCAAGTTGCGAATGATATTTGCGTTTGATCCGAGTAGCGAAAAACCGCAACTTGACTTTTATTGAGTTTTCATTCAAAACGATGCTAAGACAGGCGTTTCGCTGTAGGACATTCAGACTAAGAAAATATAATGACTTATTGTATAGCTATACGATTAATGCTGGTAGGTAGTCCGAACACATGGTAAAATCAAACGCTTCTAATCCCAGATCCATACATTATACAGAAAAATTAGTGGAATAAAGATGAAATGTGACCCACCGTTCCGTCTTCATCATGTGGCGCCTGATCTCTGCCCTCTCATCGAGGAGTTTCTGGAGAGCACTGAAGGATTCTTGTTGTAACATGTCAAGGTGTGTTCTAGAGGTGATCAACTCGTCCACTTGCAATCTGAAAACAAAAGAATTATAAAAAAATAACAGTTTAATTAAATTAATGTAAAATGCAGTATCTTGACATGACACAGTTTTCTTTTAACATGTCAAAATGTGTTCTTGTGTTGATGTGATCAACATTTTTTCTTGCAATTAAAAATAAAATTAAAAAATGCAAATTTTTCAGACATTTTCATTCATATACAAATGGTTCAGCCAATCTGAATGCAGTAAAAATTATTCTTAACAAAGTTTTAAAAACTCTAAGCCCCACTGCACTACTTATAGCTACTTGCGCCCTCTATATAGCAAATGATACCTAATCTGTGACTATTCGTCCTCCATGATCCCATTTTTCTTATGTTAATTGAGAGCTGAGTTGATGAGATAACCACCTGTCCAGTGACCTTGCAGGGTGGTCTAATCCCTCCTATAAACTAGTACAGATAAGCTTTAAAAGTGACAGTTCCATAAATCTAAAAATAAAAAAAGAATCCTTTATCACAAATTATACTTGGTACCAGATAAGAAGACATGTATAATATACATTTTTGTGTATGTGCCATTAGGTTTCTCTTAAAGCTGACTGAGGCGCTTCTGCACCCTGTAACATAAAATGAATCTAATTTATTATATCTTTACAATCAATTATATCTTACTATCAGTTTTATGTAACAGAAATTTGTAATTCCTGCACTGTAGCAAGAATGAAGACAGATAAGATATTTGCAATAGACCATTTTCGTAATGTAATCAAATTCGATGCACAAATCTTTGTTTAGTGCCTTGTTACAAATTATTTCACTCACCGGTTATGAATAATTGTATATCAATAGAAAAAATTCAAAATTTATTCATTATGTGTTGTTAGTAGGAAGAGAGATAATGTTTGTCCTACCTAGCAAGAATTAATGTATGCAATTCGCATTCGGTCTATTGGAATACATTCATTCATAACAGGTGAATGAGAACTTTGTAACATGCATTACATTTGATTACATTACGAAAATGGTCGATTGACTGAAATTCAATTCTTATGATACAGGGCAAAGAAGGCAGAAGTATGTCGTACCTGCTGCCTAGGAATTTGCTTCTCCAGACGTCGCACTGGATGTTGACTCTCTCCAGGGTCTCTCGTTCCTTGAGAAGGGTTGCCATGGTATTCTCTATCTCCTGAGCCAGCTGGGCGCGGTCATGGGCCAGGTTCTCCAGCTGGGTCTGCAGGTCGGCTCCCATGGAGGCCACCAGGAGCTTCTTCAGCTCCTTGTTCACCTGCAGGTTAAGATGTACATCACAGTTACATACATTAAAAGGAAATTGTTACAAAAGCTGTGCAGGACACTCATGTCAATTGACCTACAGTACGCATACTCACTAATCTGTGTGCTATAAGATACAAAAATATGTGAAGTGAAGTTTCAAGGTTTCTTTATTTTTCCACTTGATATAACATAATCAAATGAATATGTAATATATACAAATTCAATTACACAATATTAACCAAACATTTTACAAATGATTATACAATTATTTGAATAAATCATTTAAGATTGGCACAATAGTAAAACATAGTGGAGGAGTCTATTAAAAAAGCAAGGATTGTATTTTTTAGATCCCTTGAGAATAAAAAAAGTTACAAGTGCTCTGTAATATAATTAGAAAATATATGTATAAAAATGCTTAGGTAATCCTACACCCTCGAGAAGTACGCATAATTATGCTTCCAAAAAAAACACATGGTTAACCAAAACTGTTTACCAAGGCATATGTGAACAAACCTTAAGTTGAAAATTAAAAAAGCACCCAAACCATCATAAAAGTCGATAAAGGTTTTGATTTTGTACACAACTGTTATTCATCAAAAAGATAAGAACTGGGGGGCATTTCACAAAAATTGTCATCAGTGACAAACGACAGTTGTTGTTATAAGCTACTGAAATCCTTGATTCTGATTGGTTATTAGCAGATTTGTCACTGATTTTAGTCATTTGTCATTGAAAACAGGCTTTGTGAAACAGGTCCCTGGTCTGAGCTGTTTTTGCTTACCTGAATCTGTGCAGTGAGTTCAGCTTCCAGCTCCATGCATTTCACTTCAAACGCATCCCTCTCCTTTTGTATCCCTGCCATCCCTGTTTCAGCTGCCTTCAACTGTTCCTGTTGCTCTGTGTACAGCTCTTGGAGTAGACCTTCTCCGGTAGGTACGATCCCTGCGGAAGGAGTAATGATAACATAGTGCTGTTTTCAAGATTATTGTGTTATTATTTCACTGTATACATTTTTATTTGTCTATGACACTTATTCTCTCAGTAACAAAACAGAAGGGCTAAATTTTCTTCATTTTTTCTCATAAAACTTCAATCTGTTTTGAATTACTTTATTTCCAGTACACTCATCTGACATGCAAGCAATATTTGTATTTTTTGTTTTGTCTTTTGTTACTGCTTTGATGTTTTGAGGTAAACATTTGTTTATTTTGATATTTTTTTTCCCATTTGCTATGTTTTTCTTTATAAATAAACCAGTATGTATATGATTTTTAATGCTTTTTTATATGATTGTATGTTTTGATGTAAACTCACATTTTTAGTCTTTGGACTTTTTGATGAGATTGAATAAAACCTAATTTGAATTGAACGGTTTGGTTCAAATTTTTTCATCTGCAACAAGCTTTGCTTGACTTTAGACCCCTCCATTGCATAAAACACAAATCATGGAATGGAAAATGATTATATTTTCTGTTGATTTCTACGACGACTGATTTTTGACAACAGTTATGTTCACTCTTAATATGCCTAAGACTTTCTAATTTCGTAACTGTAAGCTTGAATACATGAATGTACAGATCCCTTTATCTGCCGTAGAAAGTCAATATCTTTGTATGCATCCTGTACGCACATCCGATTTATTTCATTTGAGGAGGCGCGATAGCTCAGTCGGTAGAGCAGTGGTCTCGTAATCCGGTGACCCGGGTTCGAAACCAAAGCGATGCGCTAGTGCCCTTTGGTAAGGCATTAATCCTCATTACCAGGTCTCTCAGAGTGGACCTAAAGCTGCCGGCCGTCTGGTTGCTTACTTACAAGCATTTATGCTTTCTTAGCAGTCAGGTAAAATAACAACCACCACCAGAATATAATTTTTACCTACATTGAATTGTTGAAAATAAAATAAATTGATAAATACTTTCTATTCACCCAGTGTTTCAATGTTTGAATTGAATGGAAATTGACTTGTTTCAAGTAACGTCATTACTGACCTTGAGATTTATTTTCGTGCCTTGGACTTGGATCAAACTGCACGTCCTTTTGATTCTGCCGATGACGAAAGGCAAGATCGGTGGAATTTCTGTTCTTGCTGTCAAAGAACGCAGGCTGAGATCCAGCGAGCCTGTACCCTTCACGTCTAGTGCCCTCTGTTGTCCCAGCTTCCTGATCCGTCTCCTTTCCCTCTGCCTCGGGCCTTGGACTGGACGAGGAGAACACATTTTCGTCGCGCACTATGTACTGAGACTGGACAGAGAAGAGATGCTGCTGGGATCTTGAAGCCATCGTGGTTGCTATTTACCTCTGCAAAAACATAAAATAAATATAATAAAATAAAATAATTCATGGAAGGCATTCAAGGGTTGCCATATTGGTATAAACACACACTACAAATTGAACACTGGCCAAGCTACGACAGGTCAAAGGCACTACATGAATTGCTACTACTAATCATTTAAAAAAAAATAGAAATTTGATGTGAATGACAAAGCAGTACCGGTACTTTGACCGAAAAATTCAAATATTCAGACACACAATGGAAAGTCCCTAAAAGCCAAACAAAATAATAAGTAAAATTATTTGTACTTCATTTGATCCAGATCACATTTTGTTACTCAAACATGGAGGGGAAAAAAGGGACACCTACTACTTCTACTTCTAATAGTTTAGTTACTTACTTTTTTTTCATACACTGTACATACAGAGTCTATGTAAGAAATCTATTCTTTGTTTCAATTTTTTTGACTGAGCAAAATACAAACCAAAGAGTTTTAGGTTTTGCACATGCTACTCACCAAATGATTCTCAAAAATAATGTGAAGTGAAAGAACCTTTGATCAGTGTGGTTTTTTTTCTATACCATACATGCCAACATTTGAAAATCAGAAATCTGTACAAATTATGCTATTTAAAAAAAAAAGAGGAACAATCCTAACTCTCCTATTCAATACTACAGACAAATTTGTACAGGAAGAGGAACACCTGCATTAAAATGATAATTATCTTCTCCCAAAAAGAGGAATGTTCCTCTTTAATCTGAACAGTTGGCATGTATGCTATACATAAGAGATCCATCTTCAAATCTTCCTGAAGTTCTGAACGAAACAATCAATATTTTGTAATAGATCTAATCTTTTATTTGATAACATCTAGATCTCTATGACTAGTTTCATAATGAATTAACATTCTACATGTACTTCATTAATACAGGCATGTATTTATTACAAATAAAGTCATATATCTTCACTGTTTCAGTCAGATCATTATTTAATATTATTTATTTATTTTAGAAAAATTGCATTTAAAGAACCTAATTGCATTTAAAAAAATCTAATTGCATTTGAAGAACCTTGCCCTTGGCCATCTCGATCTCGTGAAATATAGGCCACCATCAAACACAATAGGGCTGGAAGACGTCTAGTATGGCTATGCATTGCAAGAAATGAAGCTCGTCTGTGCGTCATAAATGCATTTTGGACTATTTCATGAAAACCTTAACCTCAAAATGTCATGAGAACAGAAAGCATAGATACTAGCCTCCAAGCCGAACACACAACACAACAATGAACAGGTGGGATCACATACAAAACTTTCCATTCATGTTTCATCCAAAACAACCACGGTATAGATAATCACAAGTGTATAGGAATACCTAAATTACAATGTATTAATTAACTAGTACTACTGAGGGCTTTTAAAAGCTAAAAACTATTCATACTTACAGTAAATTCTCGAAATTCACAAATCCATTCACGCGAATGACGTGTTCGAAATAGCTCCTCGGCGGTGTGACGTCATGGTGAACGTCAATCTAAAAGAAGATCCTCAATGCAACGTAACTTTTCACAAGATAATAACTTCGTCAGATCACAAGAAGATCAAAACGTCACACCTATCCGAATAATCCACACACGTAGGCCATCTAGCAAGTTTGATGTTTGCATAAATAAGGAATACACATAATCTTCAGGTTGCCGACTTCTCTTGTCCTCCATATCAGTATCTTATCAGTGTCATAAATAAATGTTGAAATATAGAATGATATTTCTATTACCAAAAAAAAGATCGTCATTAAATTGATTGATTGATTGATTTATTCGCATATATTATTATATTATTATATGAACTTTTCAAACACGAAATAAACAAGAGAGAGAATTAAAAATATAATTTGACATGGATGACATGAAAGCTAATAAATATTCCCACTATGGTCAAAAGATTATTTATAAATAGTTGGTAGAGAAATGGATATTCTATTTGATGAATACAGAAGAAAACGAATAGAAAGAAAAAAAGCAAGAGCAAAAGGATGACGTCAAAATAGAAATGAAAATAAACTTGACAAGGTTATGAACCAAATGAAATTAAAACGATGACATCAGTAGGTTAGGCAGCTTATCCTCTCAGTTATTGCATATACATGTACTACGTTGAGCCTTTTATGACCTATTTTGAAAATTAAAAAAACAACAACACATAGAAATGCTCTGAACTAAAGGACATATATTCATCAGATTATGACAACAGTTAACTTACTCATTCCTATTCGTCAATAAGGTTTACCTTAGCACAGCAATTAATTAGTATTTGCAATTTAAGCATCAAAAGCTGCAAAAAATAAAACAAATATTTGTCTTTTTTCTTTTTTTTTGAAAATGAATTCCTTTATTGTCATGCACAAAATAAAATGAAGGCATAACAATCGTTTTACAGCTCACATGTGTATCAATATAACAATACATTTCTTCTTTCTAATGTCAATTTAATTAAAGAAGGTTCGAGAACTCAGCCCCCCCCCCCCTCCCACCTGGTCTATTTTGTTATACTTAGGGTGCACACATCTCTGCGTTTTGTCCCTGCCCCCCCCCCCTCCTCTATATATATATATATATATATATATATATATATATATATGATCTCCCTCTCTCTCTTTCTCTCTCTTTCTCTCTCTCTCTCTCTCTCTCTCTCTCTCTCTCTCTCTCTCTCTAAACTAATCAAGCAATCAAACACACACACATTTTCTATCTCTAATATTATAAGCCCCTTCCTCCCCTCACGTCTATCTCTCTCTCTCTCTCTCTCCTCTTGCTCTTACCGTTGTTTGGATCGCATGCATGTGACGTGATCATTCGATGTCGTCACTGAACAATTACAAAAGAAGTGATCATTTGATGTCGTCACTGATCAATTACACATTAAAGAAGGGTCATGAAAGCACTAAAGAAATAATGACTGTTTACAAATCTATATTTGCATAGCTCAAACACCCACCTCCCCATAGCAACATACAAATTGTATTAGTCTTTTCTATCTATACATGATGCCAAAAGGAGAAACGTTCATAATATTTTTTTCTTGCTTGTTTAGTTTTATCGATTTATCTTTGTTGCTGCTGTTGTTGTTGTTGCTACTGCTGCTGATGTGTTATTGAGGGACTCGGAACAACCTCGAATGTTATTTATTTATTCATTTGTTTATTGAAATATAACAAGAATCAAATATAGACTACATTGTAGCCTGAACAGAATAAAAATGTAATACACGGAAATAAAATTAATGGATATCACCAAAGCTGAATGTTACCGAAATTTGCACAAAATTCATGTAACTCCTAGTACCCCCCGGCGGTCTATATACCAATATGAATGTTGTTGTTTTTTCTTCAATAAAGCAATTGCTGAATATTCAAATGCCAGATGCAATTATCAGTTTATTTCTCTTTTATATAGTTTTATGTATATCTCTTTAGAAATCTTCAAGAAACACTGCAGGCGCGTAGCCAGGGGGGGGGGGGCGGTCGCCCCCCCCCAAAAAAAAAAACGCCGGCCAAAAAAAAAAGAGAGAAAGAGGAGGAAAAAAAAAGAAGGTCGTAGGAAGAAAAAGGGAAAAGGAGTCGAGAACGGTACAACGAATCATCAAAGCTTCCGCGCTTCGCGCGGAAAGGGGGGAACTGACTTCAAATCTAGAATTAAGGGTCGGGAAAGGTACAACGAATCGTCTTCTTTCTTTAATAATTTAATGAAACGTCAAAACTTCGCACGAGAGGGGGGGGGGGAACAGAATTCAGACAATGATTAAGAGTCGAGAAAGGTACAACGAATCGTCTTCTTTCTCTAATAATTTAATAAAACGTCAAAACTTCGCACGAGAGGGGGGGGGAACAGAATTCAGACAAGGATTATGAGTCGAGAAAGGTACAACGAATCGTCTTCTTTCAAAGCTTCCGCGCTTCGCGCGGGAGGGGGGAAACTCCCCCTCCCTGCACCCACCCCCCCCCCCCCTAGGGGGCGCGCTTCGCGCGCTCTGTAAGTGATTCGCACGCTTCGCGTGCTCACTACCGCCCCCCCCCCCCCCTAAAATGAAATCCTGGCTACGCGCTTGAGAAACAGAGGTGGGAAAAGAATTATGTCTCTGCAGTTTTCAATTCTCCTCAGCTACAGAGGCTGTGTTATATAGACTACCACCTTTGTTTACAACTTACCCACAGACATGTATACATAGATCAGCTGATTGCGGTTTTGAACTGTATACGTTGTACACACGTGCATAACTAGCGCGCTAATAATCAAATGGAAAATGAGGGTGGAGCAAATTAAGTCGATGATTCACTGCTATTCAAACGTGCCCCCACCCTTTTCCTTAGCAATGGAACAGCAAAAAGAATCAGACGGGTTAGGAGGAATGAGGTCGAAAAGAGGACCTCATCTACAAGCACATTGGTCAACATTTCGGCGGGGGAGCTGGAACTTACGGTAATTTTTTGTCGCATATTTTGAGAGCTCTTCCTTGTCTTCAGAATGTGTTCAGTCCCACACGTACATGATATGCGTATGCTGAAGTTGAAGTGTTGAATTTAGATTAAAATTAATATGACATCTGTTGTTGTGTTCAATACTGACTCGTCGAAATAAATTATTAGATTCTTTATTCATTTGCAACGACTGTGAATAAATATTTTAAGTAGGTTGACTAAAATATATTTATGGATGCTGTAAAGAGTCAAGATTCAAGAATGATGTCATTTTTTAAATTTTATTTGAATGACATTAGATCTCTAGATCTATTTAATCTGTTTTTATTCCCCACTAAGCCACATAGCCTAAGTTAAGGGCTCTCTCGAAATGTTTTTTTAATGATATTATTCGAGAGAGCCTTAAACGGCTCCCATACCCCTGCACGGAGAGGCATGTAAACAAAACTCAAAAGTGGTCCAAAATCACACTTTCGCGCACCCGACCAATATTGGACAGTGGCTTTGATAAATTTTGTCGTAGTTTTGGTCTTAATTAGCGCTTTAATTTCAAAATCGGATCTAAAAATAACAAAATAAGAGCAATTTTCTTACCAGACCGATACAGCTCAGCTCCCTTTTCACGTGTACCGTGTGAATTTACGATGTCTACACAATGGTGATGACCTCTGACTGGCACTTCCGTAATTGTGGGTAAATTGTGCTGCTTCCGTATAATGCGCTGTATGAGTGTTATTCAGCGCATTATACGGAAGCAGCACATTTATGAAGTGCTAGTCAGAGGTCATCACCATTGTGTAGACATCGTGAATTCACACGGTACACGTGAAAAGGGAGCTGAGCTGTATCGGTCTGGTAAGAAAATTGCTCTTATTTTGTTATTTTTAGATCCGATTTTGAAATTAAAGCGCTAATTAAGACCAAAACTACGACAAAATTTATCAAAGCCACTGTCCAATATTGGTTGGGTGCGCGAAAGTGTGATTTTGGACCACTTTTGAGTTTTGTTTACATGCCTCTCCGTGCAGGGGTATGGGAGCCGTTTAAGGCTCTCTCGAATAATATCATTAAAAAACATTTCGAGAGAGCCCTTAAGGCTATAAGCCACATACATTGATAATTTATCATGAGCTATTTGTTGCATGTTGTTGCTATGTCAGGTGTGGTTAGATTTCAATGTCATATCATAATGATGTCAGAATTAGTATTGTAACTGTTATCTTCTTATGCAGACACTAGATCTATATAAGATAATAAGGACACTTGGACGCCGTTATGTTAGATACAACTGGTGGTCGTGTTATCGTGTATATCGCGCTGCCTACATGCATGCCGCATGATAGCATAGAGTCCCGTGTATGATACTAGTCTAGGCTTCAGACCTTGCAACAGTAACCATCAATAAATGTGTTTCAAAAGTTGAATCTGATTTTACAGTAGTGTGCTATGTCAGGCATGTTTAAACTTTTGAGCAGGCGGAGAAATAGAATTTCACCAATAGTAAAATTAGATGGTTTACTTTGATATAATAAGATATAATATATTATAGTGTATGAAGTGTAAACCATAAATTCACAAGATGGGGGGGGGGGGGGGGATGTGATAATGAATGTACCGGTATATGGCCGGTATATTATGACATAAACAAATTTAATGACAATAACAAATAAATCCTAAAAAAAAAAAAAAAACCTCTGAAGTTGCTGGAACATGGGAGGAGTGTGAATTTGGGTGTGAATTTGGGTGTGGTCATTTACAACTTCAAACTTTCCTCAATTTTCTCAGACTTTAGACTATTTCATTTCTCTCAATCTTGTGCTTACTACCCAACTTTGAATGCGGGTGTAATCCCTCATTAAAAGACGATATACATGGGTGTACAAAGTCAAATAAAAAATTATTAAAAAAGCATAAACATGCTTCATTTTCTCTATACCATGGTTTGAGGGGGAGTAAGGGTGGAGTACTTGATTAAATCCTCTTTTTTTTTTTACAATGATTTGATTATGTACATATATCTTCATCTTTAAATCTTTGTTTTGCATATACTTGAAGAAACGATCTAGCTCTTAAGCAAAGGGCTTACATGCCCCCTGAGTGTGTAACATCTAAATATCTGCGGATTAATATGTGGGACATGCTGCTGCTTATTCAGCCATGTGTATATAGTCATATTATTTGTATTTACTTTTTTCTTATAATTTGTTTTATCCCTGACAGGGTCTATCTGGATTTCCTAGGCACAAACAAAGAGCTACTACGGGTATTAATATTCAGGTATGTTCTTTCTGTACTTTTCAACAATCGTAGTCCTCTCCTAGGGTTGGATTAATTAATGACACTTGAAGGGAACTTCAAGTGAAATTATTTTATTATTTTATTTACATATATTGTAAAAATGTTAAGGCAACATATAATTATGTTTCAGTCCCCCCCCCCCCCTCCCCTTTTTCTTTGTATTATACTGAATCCTGAATCCTGGATTCAGTGTAAGGGCAACATATGATACTATGTAGCTACAATTGATTGTATTTACATATGGTAAAAATGTTAAGGCAACATTTAATTATGTTTCAGTCCCCCCCCCCCTCCTTTTTTATTATTATACTGAATCCTGGATTCAATGTAAGGACAACAGATTATACTGACTAGCTACAATTGATTTTATTTAAATATGGTGACAATGTTAGAGCAACGTTTGATTATGTTTACAAATGGTGACAAATCAATTCAGAATTTGTCACCACCCACTCAGTGAACTATGTTGTGCAATCGTTATACTTGTTTTGCGTGGCAAGTCTGGGCATTTCATCAGTTGAGCCTGAAGGGCATTAATTCACGTCCATTTGCACAGGGTTTATCCCCTTTTTGCTCTTAGCATGCGATGTGAATCATGAATTATTATAGGTCGCAAAAATTGTGTTCACATGGGGTCATGGTAGTTTAAAGTTATTTTTGTAAAATGTCAAAGTTTGAGTAGTAACCCTCTATCAGTGATGTGGGTTCACACATGATCAAAACAACGACAGTTCAACACTTTATACCACAAGCTGGGCAAGCATTCGTTGCTAATACATGAACAAGCTTGCAAAAGTTATTTGCATACCGGTATGCATCTCTGCATGGCACATAACAGTATGAGTGAGGACCCATTGGCCCGAATTCACAAAGCAAGGTTTGAGCTCAGACCAAGGTTTGACCTCAAACCTCCTTTTGTTTCGCCAAACCTCCTTTTGTAATAACAAAGGGAGGTTTGGCGAAACAAAAGGAGGTTTGAGCTCAAACCTTGCTTTGTGAATTCGGGCCTTTGAGTTTTCATGTTAGGCTAAAGATTGCATGTGGTTCGAAACTTGAGTACTTAAATTTAAGTTTCTCAAACCTTGGGTGTGTCTGGACGGTTCTTCAAGATAACCTCGAAGTTTGAAGATTGGTTGATTTGTCTGTGTTACCCGACTGCTAAGAAATCATTTGTATGCTTGTAAGTAACCAGGGGACCGACAGCTTTAAATCCTCTCCGAGGGACTTTGTAATGAGGATTGATGCCTTACCAAAAAGCATGAGCGCATCGAATTGGTTTTGATCCTGGGACCTCCCGGTTAAGAGACTGCTGCTCTACCACTGAGCCATTGCGTCTCACTCTTAATTAAAAACCATGGTCTAATCTTAAAGTTAAAAGAGTTGTGTGAATATTACTTCAATCATACTTATTATTATTCATTGTGGTTAAAAAGACCAGCCTCTCCTAAGCCGGCGGCTAAATTGAATCCTTCTGCTTTTTCACCAGATAGTACAACCGTAAACAAAACGAAAAAAATCACCAAGTATGAATAATTGTCTCTTATGCTTTCATAAGTCACACTCACACAGCTGGGGGAATAGGTCTTAGGGAAAACTAGGCAGCGCCCAGTTAGGCAACCGAGATTCAACCCCGCACAGAATTGTCGCAAGTAATCAGTCACTAAGTGCTCTCAAATGATCGTAATGAAATTGTTATTTAATCAGGCAATTTCCTGGATCACCGATCGCCCATATCCCCCAGAAATAAATCAATCAGATCCAGATTGACGTTCCCACCCAAAATACCCTGTTCACACTGGGGCACCCATGTTTTTAAGGGTTAATAAAGTTCTGGCTGTGTTCATACTTTCATTTAAACCAAGTAGGGAAAACCTCACATAATTGGATTATCGCTGAAAGGCCTAGCTGTTAAGTAAAGCTTCTTCTTAACGTCTTTTTATGCTCTCACCCTGAAGTTCTGTTGTGTCCACACTTTCATTTAAAACAATGAGGTAAACCCCCAAATACTTTGATTATCCCTACGTAACTACTACTGAATATGCAGCCTGAAAGACATACCTGTACACTGTTAAGTAAAGCATCTTCTTAACGTCTTTTTTGTGCTCTCACCCTGAAGTCCTGCGGTGTCCACACTTTCATTTAAACCAATGAGGTAAACCCTCACATAATTTGATTACCCCTGCATAACTTCTACTGAATATGCAGCCTGAAAGACCTACACTGTTATGTAAAGCTTCTTCTTGATGTCTTTTTGTGCTCTCACCCTGTAATTCTGTTGTGTCCACACTTTCATTTAAAACAATGAGGTAAACCCCCAAATACTTTGATTACCCCTGCATAACTTCTACTGAATATGCAGCCTGAAAGACCTACACTGTTATGTAAAGCTTGTTCTTAATGTCTTTTTGTGCTCTCACCCTGAAGTCCTCCTGTGTCCACACTTTCATTTAAAGCAAGGTGGTAAACCCTTGCATTTGATTATCCCTCCATTTTGTGCTCTCATCCTGCTTTTTACAAGACATTCTTGTATTCACACTTTCAATTAAGCTCCTATTCTTACTCTTGTTATAAACCAGTTTACTAATGTATTCAATTTTTATGCTGTTGGAATACAGTCTGCATACATTACTTGTTGCTATGTCAGGCAAGCCATGAACAAGCTGTTGGGGTTGTCAGGAATAACCTTTCTTTAAACTTACAAGAAGCAACAAGTAATGTATGCAGACTTGATTCCAAGTTTTGTAGTTCATACACAATAACAGGTTAATGGAATACCTCGTCACTAGGTCCCCGTTAAAGAAACATTCATCAGTTGAATATGTTAGCATGGGAGATTTGTAAGACAAGGAAGTGGTCTTTATACATGTCGGCAGGTGATCTTTATGGGCAGGTTCCTGTAGTTTCAATGAGAAACCAAAAATTCAGTCTTTTTAGACAGGTGATCTTTCTTTACACATGGTCGCTATAAAGCAGGTTTCACCAAAGCTAGCAAAGCAAGCCTCTGTTTGTGTATATACATGTATGTATATCCATATTTTTCTTATTTTTAAATTTGAAATCCCTGCTTTGTTTTTACACCTCCAAAGAATAGACCATCTGCTAAAAGGTCAAAGGGTATTGACCTGCATTTTGTTTTTCAGAGTTAAAACTCTTCTGGCACTCAGCAGAGCACAGGAAAGATAGGAAGTCATTTTACATTTTTGTCCTTTGGAATTCCCCGACATTTTCACACATTGTTAAAGGCTTTACCCGGTAATCTAAATACCTGTACATCATCATCATCATGTGTTTTTTAAATACTTTTTCCACCTGTTTACAAAAATATGTATTTTACATCAATTGAGTGCAGTTGTGCGTCGGTCAATGGAGGTGCGCACCATATTTGTCTTTATTTAGTTGATTGCCACTGTTTTTCTTACCTTATCTATGTTACTTTTGTATTTTTGCTTTTTCTTCTAATTTAATTCTACGGGTTATAGTCTTCTCTTAATCAGAACACTGTGCGCTTAGAAACATCAGTATTAAGCGCCTAATAAATGTTATGTATTATTATTATTATTATTAAGAAAAACAATGACTAATTTATCATAAGAGAATACAAAACTAAAAAAATATAAAAGCTTAACTGAGCTGAGGATGAATAAAATACCATTATAGGATTGGGATCCTTCCGAAGGCCTCATCGTTTCATTGTTTATTTTTGTTATTTGATAATAGTTGGTAAGTGGGTGGAAAGGTATGAATTTGAACCAGATTTTACCATTTGTGTTTCAGTTTGTTTACTTTTTTCTCATAATACATGTAACCCATAATAACCCATAATTCGCCCACACGCTTTGTAGCATCTGTATATATTTGTTTGGTTTAGATTTTAATTGCAGTACCACCATAGAAATTAACAAATAAACATTGGGCGATTTCAGTTGTCTTGTACGTCAATGGGTGAGCATGACAATGACACAAACCAACTTGATTTCTAATTGTAACAATGGGATATTGAAACAGCCCTTAAAGGTACTAGTCACATTTTCAGGCCCCAAAAATGAAAAAGTTTAATTCCAATGGCATTTAAAAGATGATACTAATTTAGAACCTCCCTCATAACAAAAGGGCTTGAAAATGTCCGTGAGAAAATAACGAGCATTATGTGTCGTATCAACTTTAGTGATTGCAATCATTTTAGTAATAGTCTGATTTTCAGACCCTTGTACCGAAGGGTCATACGTGCAAAGATTCTGGTTTGTTGACAAACCAGGAGTTAGCTGAATTATTTTCCTTTTAATTCAGAAGACACCGTAGCTTAATTTACGTCTACCATAGCGCGTATGGAATTTATGCTAATTCTAGTTCAGAGCGAATTTATGCTAATTCTAGTTCAGAGCGACGTGTTCGCAGATGCCATGTTTCTTTCGTTAGGAAAGGATCCACGGGAGACGAAAGTCTTACTACATTGTTTTAGTTAGCCAGGAAATGTCGCCATAGAAGTAAGTTTATATTTAAAGTATCATGCTTTTCATATGTGGTGATTTAAGAATGTGTTTTGGTCAGGTTGTTGAGGAAAAATGATATTACATAATCAATGTGTACCGAGTACGGTTTATAAATCGCTATGCACAAAACTGTATAGTGATAGAGTGTACGTTGTATGAGTTACATTGGAAGTCTTATTGCTTTTAGAAATGACAATGCATAACATACAGACGTGATGTTAAATATCACCATATCTTTGTAGATATGTTTAATACCATGATTTCAGGTGGTTTAATACATGATTTAAGCTGGGGCTTATTGTTGACCATTTAGAGTGATAGTTTAATTGAGAAAATAAATACATGAATGAACAAAACAGCGTAAACTTATAAACCGGAAATGTTTGCTCTATACATGTAGATCTAAATGGAAGTTTGTGAGTTATGATGTAAACAAAGGACTAGGGGTTTAACTTTAATTTTACATTTGATTATCGAGAATTTGTTCTG